AAAATGAAAGCTGAGCCAAGCCCAAGGAGCTCTGCGCTGGGGAAGCCTAGGTCAGCTGGGGCAAGCCAGCAGGGGCGCCGAAGGCCCCGCCAGGTCCAGGCTGCGTGGAAGCGCTGACGAGCTGTGCGCGGCTCTGGCAGACTGAGCGGGCTAATCCGCCTGACACGGCGAGGCGCCCACCGGCGCTCTGCACAGCACTGCCCAGCGTCTGTGCATGTGCTGCAAAGCCCCGGTAACCCCCGACCCCGACAACCTGACTGAGCCAGAGGAGGACTGCAGGGAGGGAGGGTTCCTGATGAAAGCAGTCACCATGGACTGCAAGGATCCCAAAAGTCCTGAAAGGATCATGGGTGCACGAGGAACATTCTTCTGAGCTCTCCCCATAACATCTGCTTGCAGCCCTCCCTGGTGGTGCAGCGGGTGAGGACGCAGCACTGCAAGCCGGCCACAGCCACTTCAAAGCCAGTTCCATCCCCCCAGAGGTGACTCACAGAGCGCAGCAGACCTCTGTCTCCCCGCTGCTCCCCTCAGCAGTGGATTTCATCAATCTGCCTGTGCTGCTCCCTGCTCTGTCTGGTGAACCCTCTCACCCTGCACCCCTGGCCTGCATCCCAGCTCTGTGTGCATAAATAAATAAATCTTTAAAAAAAAAACAAAAACAAAAAACACTGTTTAGAATTTCACAAGCAGGAGACGGCCCACATCTCTGAACTCATTAACTTTGAAATTGTGGAGCAGATTAAAGGGTTCCTTGAACTTTTATACTTAAGGCTTTGTAGAAAGAAATTCCCGGTCTCCAACTCTTCCTGGGACAGGTTAGAAATGATTAGGAACTGAGCTGGGTTTGCTGCTTTGCGAGCTTTTCTTGTCTCGCGGGGCCGGAACGGACGCATCCTTCAGGCCCAGGGGCGTCTCATTCTCCGCTTCTCACAGGCCAAGAGTGGAGGCTCCGAGGGCAGAAGGCTCGTCGCCGCGCTCTGGGACGGGGGGTGAGTCCTCAGGGCCTGGTCAGAGCCCGGGAAGCGGCACAGCGAGGCTCACGCGGCCACAGGGACCGGCTTTGGGGCAGGGGTCTGAACACGGACCCTGGCGCTGCTGGGCTCGGGCTCAGCGTCTCATCTTCCAAGCTCTCGGTCACTTCCACCTGAGCAGCGCGCAGCTGTCGCCGTGGGAAGCTGCGCCGTTGCCGGTGGGAAATCTCTGCGCCCCACTCGGAGCCTCTTGCCGGCGCCTCTCTCTGACCCGGGCCTGCCACCAGCCTGTATCCTTGAGCATGAAACGAGCCCTGAACAGCGGCTGCCACAGCGTCCCCTCCCAGCCGGGAAGCTTCACCCTGCCACCTCCGGGCCGGAGGCTGGGGCTGTCTGTGGCCTGTGGCGGCGCCGGCTGAGAGGCCTCGTCACCCTCACGCAGCTCAGGCTGGGGACCTCAGCGCTTTCCTGGCAGAGGCCTCCAAGGGGGTGGCCCACATGCAGTCGTGACGACGTAACCACGGCCAGAGCTTCAGGAACCCCCGTTGCGCCCTGCAAAGGCCAAAGTGACACGTGTTTCACGTGACTTGGCTCCCTCTGACTGCTAGACTGCTGAGGGGCAGCATCTCACAGGGTGGAGCACCCCATCAGCTCTTCCAGAAAGATCCACCACCAGGTGCGCCCACCCGCAGAGAGCCAGCAGGGGGTCTTCCTCTTTTGCAAGTTTCCTGGGAAAAGTTTGCATGAAATTAATGTTATCTGACCATCACCATTTGGGAAGATGTATAAGTAGAGCCACCTAGGCTTGGAATTTTCTCTATTGCAAGGTTTTTTGTTTTGTTTTGTTTTTTAAAGTTTTATTTATTTATGCATACAGAGAGGGGGTACAGGCCAGAGGTGCAGGGACGGTGAGAGGACTCACCCAAGACAGAGTGGGGAGCAGAACAGACCAACTGACAAAGTCCACTGCTGAGGGAAACAGTGTGGAGACAGGAGCGGTCTGCCATGCCCTGGGGGGTCACCTCAGGGTGGGGATCGAACTCATGATGAAATGGCGTTAGCTTCTTAGTGCTGTGCTGTAACCTGCTGCACCACCAGGGAAGGCCCTTGTTTGTTTTGTTTTGTTTTGTTTTTAAATCTACGCCCTTAATGTTTGTAGTGTTACTCAGATCATCTATTTCTTTCTCAGAATTCTGGTATTTCACCTTGCAAAGAGCGTGTCTGCCTCACCTGCTTCCAAGCTGACTGATTTGTTGCCAGTAAATATTGTCCATGACACAGGGCTGCCTCCCTGCTAGTATCTGTACGGTCTGTCGTGATGCCTCCTCTTTCACCCTAACATCCACGATTCCTGTCTTTTTCCCCCTGAGTAATGAAGCTAGCAGTTGGCAAATTTTTTTTAAAGTATGAGATTCTGGTTTCCTTTATTGTGTAAAGACTTTGTTGTTCCCTGGTTCACTGATTTTGCTCTAATCTTTATTATTTCCATGTTTTTTAGGCATAATTTCCAATTTTTAGGTTGAATTTGCAAGTTTTTTTTACTACTTCATTGAAGTTCAGCCTGAGGACTATGGACTGGAGGTGAGAATTCCTGTCCAACACAGGGAGTAGGTATCCTAATCCCCCAGGAGCGTTTTCATGGTGCCCCACAGCTATAGGTGGTATTTTCACTCCTTTCAAAATACTTTCTAATTTTTTTCCCTTTTTGGCCATGGGTTAATTATAAGTGAGTCATTTTGTTTCCAAATGTTTGCGCATTCTGTCAGAGATCTGTTTCTCACTGGTTTCTATTTTTATCTTACGACAGTTAAGAAAAATTACTATTTTGTAAAATGGGAATCCTTCTCATTTACTGAGATCTGCTCTGCGGCCCTCTTCTCAGGCTGTTTCTCCAGAGAAACGAGCCCCAAAACCAGGGTGCTGTGTGGGGCATCTGCCGCGCATGTGTGGACATTTGTTTCATTTTCAGAAGCTGACCTACGAGACTGTGGTGGCTGCCAAGTCTGAAATTTGGAGGCAGCAGACAGGCTGGACACCGAGGCGGGACGCTACACCCCGAGGCAGAATTCCTTCTCCAGGGAAACTCAGCTTTTGCCCTAAGGCCTTGCCTTCCATGGGGCCCAACCCCGGGGTCAGTGGAGTCCCCCCTCCCTGCCAGGCTGACCCCACCCGTCAGCCCCTGCCCCGGTAAAGCTTGCCTGCTCTGGCAAGAAGTGACCCAGACCCCTCAGGGACGCCCAGGAGACAGACAGCGCCTGAGGGGGTGCTGACGAGCAGTGGGGGAGGAAGTGCCTGAGGAGGCTGGTGGGCTGAGGCGGTGGCCCACAGACGCGAGGGGCAAGACACCCAGACACAGAGCTCAGGCGGCGTGGGTGGTGACCGCAGGCGAGTCTCCAGACGGAGGAGACGAGTCGGCCCTCGCCTGCTCTCTCCAGGAAGACACCCAAAAAGGAGACGCTTCAAGCTTGCTCCCACTGTCCCCACAGCCGCCCCCCCGGGCCCCCATCCTAGCGGGGTATTCTTACACCCCCTCCCACATCTGTTCCAGCAGCTGCACCCTTGTGAGAAAAGTGACTCCCCGCCTCAGGGAGAGTGGGGGGCCAGCAGCCGAAGAGCCTGGCCAGGGCCAGAGCCTGGGCTGTCCCCGGCTACCAGCTCATTTTTCCAACCACATCTTTCTCTTCTGAAGCCCTGAGTCTTTGTTCCTGGTCATGATTACTGATGCAGGTTTATTCTCGTCCCCATCAGGGTCTTTCCACATCTCATTCAACCTCCCAGCAGCTCTGTGAAGGAAGCAAGATTGTCCCATTTTACAGATGGGGAAAATGAGGGTGGAGAGGCCATGCTGCCACGCCTGGCCCACGGGACACTGTCTGGCCACTGGGTCCACACACACCAGCGTGCAGCCCTGGAAGGTCCTCGTGGTCAGCCAGTCCCAACCACGGTCATGGCTGGTGCTTGCTGAGTGGGGAAAGATCTCTCTGGACATCAGAAAAAACACCTGTCTCTCCCCCACTTCTTGGGGGCATCCCAGAAGCCGCTCCCACTGAGTCCCTTGTTTCCATGACTACGCCGTGCCTCGGCACCCATCTCACAGGGCTGCTGGTTTCCAGTGAGACGGCATCACTGCTGCTTTGGGGAGACGGGGCAGATAACAGCTGGCAGTCAGGGCAGACGCCCCCCAACACCGTGCAGCACAAGCTGCTCCCCGCACCCGGCCCAGACGCCCCGGGAGCTCGACGGCATCACAGGCCAGGCTGGGACAGACCAGCCGGAATCGAGCGGCTGGTGGTGAGCCGCCGCCTCCGGCCCACAGTGCCTCTGTCAGCGCGAACTGGCCTGTGCCCGGTGCCTTCCCCACGGCACCCAAACCCCCAGCCCTGCACCGCACCTCAGAGCGTACGCGTCTCACCAGCCACAGCCTGCGACTCTGCATGGCGTCTGGCGTGGCCCCAAGGGTCCTGCGGGCAGGCTGACCTGGACAGTCACCTCTGGTGACCTCGATGTCAGCGCCCCAGTCAGAGCCGTGAGCACGACAGGCTGCCGACCGTCCTCCAGCCCTGGGCGGCCCTGCGCTCACCTGGGCCCCGAGCCCCCTGCCCGCCAGCGCCGGCCTCTCCCAGACGCCCGGCCTCACAGTGCCAACACACAGCGGGGGAGGTGGCCCGCGGGACTGTCCAGGTTAAAGGATAAGCCGCTAAGCTGCCGTCAAGCAATAAAGGTTTTTCAAGTAAACAGGAAGGAGGCAGGAAATATTCCACTTCAATTGGTTCTGTCCTTAATTCAACCGAGAAATTCGCGACGTTGCAATCAACCAAGAGTTCACAACACCAAACACAAGACACGAGTGTTGTGGCAACTGCTTTCCAGAACATTCCGAGGAAGAAAAACACGAAGAAACCAGCCTGCCACCCACACAACTCTGCTTCCCCCAAATGCGAGTCTGCTCTCAGGCCACACTTCCCTTCCCGAAAAGTAAGCACGAGTTTGCCCCCAGGCCTCGGCGGGGGACCCGCAGGACCCACTCACCTTCACCGGGCTCGCGTCGCCCGGCCTGCTGCCCTCGGCCGGGTTCCCGGGTCTGCTCTCCGCACGGGGCCGCACGGCCTGTCGCAGGGGGCTGCACAGGGGGAACCCACTCACGCTGACGCCGTCTGCAAGGAGAACAGGGCCAAGGCTCAGGCTGGCCTGCAGCGCC